TCTGACACTTTTATATATATCTTAAAGTAAAGCTAATGTAATATACTTTATAATGGTAAAAAAAAATTTCGGACTTTATTTTATCTTCAAGGTGAAAATGGCTACCAAATGCTATTATTGTGTGAAAATTCTCAATTTTATTTTTTACATTTTTAACATTATAATGCTATAACTTATTGAAAAGTGTATTGATCAATATAATTTTTTTATGGGAAATACTATTTTTTAATAATCCCTTTTTCATTCGACATACTTTATCTTAATCAGGATATTAATAAGGAACTAGCAGTTTATGAAGCTTTTGGAATAATCCACCAATTTTTTAAAATTAAACACTATCTAAAGATTTGCATCGAAGCGTTTCTTATGATAGTGATTTTAATCACTGTCAGATATCATTATACTTGATCCAACTATGCCACGTCACCACTGTGCTGCGACCCCCCTGTGCTGGGTTTTTAAGAAATGATTTGTACAGTTACATGTTAATACCATTTTTACCATGAATAAAATGTAAAGTTCGAATTTTTTTTTATAATTAAAATATATTAGATAAGCTTTAATTTAAGATATATATATAAAACATTATCAAAAATTAAGTTGAAAAAATTGTAGTTTCTATATGCGTGTTTTAAGTTTTAAACTCCAACTGTATAGGGAAAGTGGTCCGATTTAAAAAAAAAGCATGACGGATGAAAGGATTATATATAATGTATTAAAAAAAAAAAATTGTGTTGATTCACATATTTTTCAAGTGTAATGATTTCTCTCATTTACAGGAAACGAGGAAAATTTGATCAACTTTTAAGAGCAATGTTTACAACTAGTTACGATTATTGATCTTTTAATGTATTTTTAAAATAAATCGGTCCATTGAGAGCTAAGAAAAAGTGGCAACAATCATAAAAAAAACATATCATAGCCTTTAATAAATACCTTCTCAGCTAAAATAATATGAATACAAAATACAGAATTATACTTCATAATAATCTACTAATTATTATTCAAAACAGATAGGCGAAAAAAACTTAATAAGCATTAAAAAAAATTTTTAAATACCGTATTATTAGTGAAAACTACGTAAACTAATATAAAAATTTAAAAAAAATTGAGATGCACAAAACAAAATCATATATTACTAAAGATTATGCGCGTAGACTTAACTTGGTAAAAAATCAACAGATTTCAATGAAATTTTCAGAGTACACTTGAAATGTCTCTGAGCAGTCCTGGTAAAATGTTCAGGTTTTAAATCGAAAAACGCTGGCAGCAATGAGTATTTTTGATAAAATTTTGAAAGACTAGCGGTATGCTAAAAAAATGTTCTCATCTTAGCGAACAATTTTCCTAGAATAACGTCGTCCATCTCTTGCATTAAAAAAAAAATTTTGAAAATTGGACTTCGTTTAGTAAGTTTTCTAGCATTGGCTAATTTTTCAATGTTTTATCATATAATAATAGAATTTCCTCATTAGAATAGAGAGATATGTGTTAAAAGCGAAGGACTGTAATAGTCGTACACTCTATGGTAAAAACTTACCGTTGCTCGGAAGAATACATTATAACACAAAAACGGCAGCCAAATTCGAATCATTTTGATCAAACGGTGTTTCGAAAATGACAACAACTAATAGTCATACGACTATTAGGAATCAGTACATACGTGCTGGGTATGGCTTCAGCAAACGTACTATAGAATTACACATAATTAAAATAAGGAGAAAGAGTATTGGTATTGATTTAACATTAATAAGTCTCGACGAAAAAATAAATTGTAAGGGTATTTAGAAAGAAACATACAATGTTTTTAATTTGCAGTAGATTATTTGTATGACTGTGAACAGTTTTATAATTGAGAATCTCTTGGACGTTAAATATTTTAAGAATAAGTCACATTATTTATCATGTAATTTTAGTTTTGTTTTGTGATGTAAAAAATATAAAATTTTTTTAAAAAAAGTCAAATTTATGAATTACCGGTTACAAGTAAATAACAATAGGCAAATTTTAATAATAAGTAGGTCTATTTTATTATTTATAATATAAATCATTCAACAGTCTAGTAAAAACATTTGAAATTTTCGTTTTTTTCCTTGAATAATATACACATAATATGTATAATAATACATACATAAATACAGAATTTTTGCAAGTTAGTGTAACGAGAACGATAGAGAATGAATAATTATTTTTTATGGCCATCGTTTTCGGGACACGTAACTCTTGAAACCCTTTACATATTTATTTTATAATATACATCTATATAATATCGTAATTCATATTGAGTATTAAATTATTTAAATAAAGCGCTATGTATATCGATTACATATCGTTGTACAAAAGAAAGAATATCATACGGTTTCTCTCTGTTTAAACATTACTAAATACATAATATTAATGTAAAAATAATACACGTATACAGTGTAAACACTTGAGTTTTTAACAAAAAAAAAAAACAATTATCATCCTTTATACTAGAACCATTGATAATAATAATAATAATTTATAATAAAAATAAAATAATTTTATAATGGCTATAATAAATAATGAAACAAAAAACAAACAATTAACAAACAACGTACTTGAAATAAACACAATATATTCATTCTCCGTCGAATTCATAATATAATTATTAACGGGTTTTCGAAGGGTTCGACAAACATAATATCTTAAATAAAAAACAAAGATTTTTAACAATTTACAAAGCAAAAGATTTTTAGTTTAAGACTACAGTAGTGTGTGTTCGCACATGGCAATTAAAAGAAAACCGTTAGTCAGCTAATTGACTGTCGCTGTTTTGGCGGCGCTATTTTCGGTCCCGGCACACGATTTATGTTCGGCCGAACTATTGCGGCAGTAGTACTTTTTATGCGCCAGAAACGTGGACAAATAGTTAAAAGATATGTCGCACACTTTGCAATATTTTGCCCCGTTGTTGTCGGCGGTTTCGTCGTCTCGGTCGCGGCAGCCGTTGGCCGACGTCTCTCCGGCCACCACAGCAGAATCTTGTCCGTAGCTGTCCACACTCCTGTCCAACGCGTTGCCGTTCGGTTCTTGCTTGACGATGATCATACCGTCCACCGACGGTTTCTCCTCCGCGCTACTATTTTCTTCAATGTTTTCGTACCGGTTTACGGCTGACGTACTGACTCCTATCACCGTCGGCCTCTCTGCGGGGGCGTCATCTGTAACCACGGGCGATGTTTTGCAGGCTGTCGGTAACTTCCCGTTGTTGTCCACAGAATTCTCGTCGATCAAACATGTCACGTAGTCCTCTTCCTAAGTTCACAGAAGTTAAATATTATTTAGCCAGATGACGAATTTAAAAAACAAAGTATCTTTAAGTTCTAATGTTTATAATATTAGTTATAACATGAAGAATGTAGGTGCGATTTGAACAAAATGCTTCGGGATCTAACTTGATTGTTGCCCTCTTTAAAATTGTTTCAATATAAAGTTACTTGTAAGTTTCAAAATTTCTGAGAGGTCGTGACAGAATTAGAAGCAACTTCTACTAGACCCCCCAGACTTCGCCTATGATGAAAATACCTTTAAGATATTTTTTGAGTTATTTGACATTTAAAGCTTCCAAGATTAAAAAACTTTCAAATAAAAATACGATTTTTCGATTACTAACTCCGATATTGAAAATATAAGTTTGTACGAAAAAAGTGTAGTTTTTATTATTTTGGAAATTTTTCAGAAAAACAAATTCATTTTTTCATGGATTAGAATAGAAATTGAAAAGTATAAAATTTGTTCGGGCACTCCTAAACTCCTTCGATTTAGATCACAAGGCATAAATAATCTAAATATGTTGATATTTACCGTTAATTCTGATATTAGACGTTTATTAAAATGCATTCTAATGTGAGTACGGAGACCTCTTAACGTGTTGCCTTTATACTGACAAATAGTACAAACGAACGCTCTGATGCCGTTATGGTTGTCTAAATGTTTTTGGGCTGCTGAAGCGCTGGGGCATACAACACCACACACAGGACACTTCCAACAATTTGTCTGACATTGATGTTGAGTATTCGGTTCTATAGTCATCTGTAGAATAAAAAAAAAAAAATTGAATATTTCGTTATGAGATGATATTAGGATATCATATAATAACAGAAAGGGAATTTAAACCTAATGTTTATTTCAAATTTCTAAAGATATAAAAATACACTTTTAAAGATCTCCTCTACTTACTTTGCATTTAGTGCACTTGCTCGGTCTCTCCTGTTCTGGTACAACAGCAGCTATGCGGTTAGGACAATAGAATGTTTGATGAGTAGTTAGGTTATCAAACGACGAAAACCTGACGCCACACGTAGAACATATGAACTGAATGATCGGTGGCTTGTGCGGGACCACCAAAGCGGGACTAACGCCACGGCCGTCTTTAGACGATGGCGGTGAACCTGCAGCAACAGTCACAGATTTTGGACCCGGTGAGCCTTCAGGGCTAGTTTTGGGTTCTGCGTTACTGAACTGGTCGTCGGATTCACCAGTCGCTATGGTAGACGGCGATTGTAGGGGACGACTCGCACAATAATGTCTTTTGTGCGCCAAGAAGTTTTCATACTTGCAAAAAACTATATTACAACTTTCACATTTGGATGGACCTTGTTTCAAAAAGAATTGAGGAGGTGGAGCAGTTGGTAAACCGGCCTCCGGTGGGTTGGCCACGTTTGCCAATCGCACAGACATGTCGGCGGCCAGTCGGAGGGTGATCTCTGGTGGAAAGTATGGTAGAACGACGGCAGCCGGATTGACATGTAATTCGTTGCTTCCGCGTTGCACGAAAAGCTGTTGTGGAGGTTGCTGTGTGGAGACGTAAGGCTGTCGACGGGCCGCGTGTCGGCCCGATGCCGGTTGACCGTCTTCATTCTCGACTACTGTTGTCGCGGCGTTGTCTTCATTTGGCGACGACCGCAGACGGGCATCCGGTTTCTGGTCGGGAGCGTGTAATAAGTTTGAAACGCTAAACTTGCAGCCGTTAATTCGTTCAATGGCCCCCACGTTAATCGAGTCGTTTGATCGTGCTTTATGGTTCAATATTACACCATTGAGTCGTTCACTACTGCCGTATCCATGGGAACGTTGCTGCAACAAGTGTTTGTCGTCTGAAAGTGGCGACGAAGGTGACATGATCATGCAAGGTATGGACGGTGCACACACGATGTGCTCAGCATCAGTGACGTTGCCGTTACTACGTCGGTTTTCTTTTTCTTCTTCACCGTCATCTTGTGATGAAGACTTACTTCCACCGCCAACTGATACGGGTCTTAATCGTAAGTCCAAAGGCGAAGACGGTCGAACTACAGATGGCTTGGTTTCTCGAATACCCACAACAGTCGTCGCACATCCGTTACTATTGTTATAGTTATTATTGATATTATTCGTCATCATTTTTTTAGGCTGCAATAAAATATAATAAAAATAAGTTACACGGATAAATATATTATAGATCAATTATAATTATTACTCCAAAAATTAAAAATGTATATAGTAAAGAACTTTTGTTTAAAATAAAATACATTCTTATTTATTTAAAATTTGAAAAAAATTACTGTATTTAAGAAGTTAAATGAGCAATTCTTAGAACATAAATTGTGGAAACTTATTATATCTTACCGGTGAATAATAATCGGTTGGTGATTCTGAGTCTGTACGGTTCTGTCTCAATGGTAATTCTGTACCTCTCATGAGATTGAATTCAGCAGATACCAAAGCCTGGGCAATGGGCTGCAGCGTGCCATCCGACAAAACGATACATGCCGTGTCCGCGGGCGGCGCGTTACCAGCTTCCGGTGACACGGCCGACAGAACGCTCGCGTTCTGAACGAGCGCGTAAGGAACTACGATGACAGGGTTGGTAGGCAGTGCTAGGTAAGCGGGTGGCGGAGGTGGTGGAACGGCGATGTTTTGATGCACTATGGACGGTGGTGATCGTTCGTCTGTGGGAGAGATGGACGGCGTGGGCTTCACCACGTGCCTGGTATTACAGTAGTGCGTTTTGTGAGCTTGGTACGTTCGTAGGTTAGAGAAGCGTATATCACAGTTTTGACAGTATCGATCAACTAGCGATGAATTTTCTGCGAGTGTCGTCGCGGTCGTCATTGATAGAGGTGGCATCGCAGAGTCTGTACCAGTCGCCGATACCGTACACGGAGGCGATTGCACTGTTACAGGAGATGTAGAGTGCATACGCATGTGTCTATTCAAACTAACCTGAAAATTCAAAAACAAACAATATTATTCAAAATTTAAATAGAAATATTTTTGGATATTGCTATGATTAAATTATTATTAGATTTTCAATAAAATTAAGTGTCAAAAGTAAGTTAATTTATTGCAGTATTGTCGATCAAAACTTCGTTATGAACTGTGAAATTAAAAAAAAAATTTTATTTACATAATTTATAGTCAAACATGAAAAACATGTAATTTTTAACGATTGTGATATTTTGGAATATGTGAACAAATTAAAAAAAACAATAGCTTCTTAACTACTTATCAAAGCTAAAACTAGTAAAACATATTCAATTCTGACAACAGAATAATCTTACGGTTTTAAACTCAAATATTTTCTAAACCATACACATTAGTATAACAAGATTTAACATTTATTTACTATAAAAATTGTTTCATATTTCTAAAATGCAACATAAAACTTCATGATATACAAATGTATCATGCTATAGCCTAAGTAAATAATGATTTTTACTCTTTAGATTTTTGAAACGGTCGGCTAACAAAAGGAAGAATCGAATATAATACAATTCTCAAGTACTTTTTTCCTAGATTAAGTAGAGCCGCATCACACGATTTTGATTTCAAAACTGATAACAGAACGCTGGTATAGGAGTGTGTGTGTGATGTGATAACGAAGAGGTTAATAAATTAACGCCGGCGTATTCTTACGGCGATAAGGTTTGCCGGCAATAAATCAGCAGCTGATAAAATGCTTAGAGATTTATGAGGCCGAAGACGAGGCACTTTCCCGTCTACAGACTTCCATATCTATACGGGGTGATAGTTCAAAGTGTATTGAAATGTTTTTTCATAGATTAGCAGCTGTCGCTATGTTTAAAATTAACTTTTGTCGATGTTAAAACGTCAATATACCCACGTACATTGTGTACCGTATCGTACATCATGACAAGAGATTAAATACGATTCAAGAATTGTCTTCTCCAACCAAGAGTAGAAATTCAAATGTTTAGAAATAAATCATCAAATTGTCTTTAATTACCTTTTTGTCAGCGCTGTACGAACAGTGTGGACACTTGTACTGCTTTCCAGTTCTTATAGACTTGGCGGATGGTTCAGCAGACGGCGATCGACTGTCTGATTCATTAATTTGCATGGAAAGCACCTCTTCTCCAGTTTCCACAATCACTATGGGTGTTTTAGTATCATCCGATTCTGAATCTGCGACAAAAATGATTCAGTTTCATATAATTTCAGAATTAATATTTTCAATTGAGTCGTGATGAAGTAGGTAAATTTACACACCTTTTTTTATCCTTCGCGAACAGTAATACGTTTGATGAGCATCCAATGTACTTAAAGAACTGAACCGTATACCACAAGGATTGCATATGAATATTTGTACAGCTACGAACAAAAATTAATTGTTTACAAATATAATAAAATATAAAATTTTGTTAAAAAAAAAACGCTTTGGATGTTGGAACCACAATATGAATTTTAGTTTACTCAGGTCTTATGAAAATAGTCAAACATTAAATAAAAAAAGCCACTAATAAAAAATTCAGCTATTTTTTTTTAATATTTGAAAACATAAATAATGACATTTTAATACACAATTAAAATATGAGTTTCTTCTTACTTGTTATTCTTGAGCTTAAATATTGAATTAAACTTCTTTTTTTGGAAGTAAAGAAATTATAGTTTTTTTGATAAAGATTATTTTACTAACTATTTTAATAGAGTACATTTTTAATTTATTAGTATTGATTATAGGGAAAATGTATGAAATTTTCTGTTGAAAACTTTATATAAATATTTTTTATAAAAAATATTAAAGAAATAATATTCATAATTAAAAAAAAAATAGCTCATAAACATCTACTAAAATTTGTATATTAAATATTTAAAAATATTAATTACACTTAAACTTCGAGCTCATGTCACCTGTAAATTATATCGGATTGGACACAAGTTTTAAGAAAATATCATTACGATAAAAATAAAAAAGTACTGAACCTTAGAAAAGTTCAATCATTTGAAAAATAGTTACTCAAAGCAATAAAATTACCTCTAGGAGCGCTGATAACTACATTACTATTTTGATTTATAGGAGTTGATTCAATGGGGAGTGATGGAGGTGATGATTCTTCGGGTGGCGATCGCCTAGCAGGATCAGTAGCCAAATTTGGGTTGAGCCTCAACTTAGGATAGTCGGCTACAGGAGGTGACTTCGCCGGTGGACTAGCCGGTTTGGGGTCGGCGATATCCACGTGCATTTTTTCGTTACCACCATTATCTTCATCTACCACTGGACCATTAGCGACCTCTTCATTAGTCCATTCATTGTCTTCTCCAGCTATTAAATAAAACAAAAAGTTAGTTCAATCATTTCTTTGTCAAACTAACAAAGAATGTTGAGCATTAACTAAATGCAAATTTAGACGTCAGTAAAAATAACAATTAGGATTGAACGTCATAGTATGAAATAATAATTGTCACACCACTTCTGATTTTTAGGAAAACATACTTTCAAGATTAATTAACAGCAATTGAAGAATATAACATAACATCAGATAAAAAATCATAAATAACATGATATTATCATCCTTAAAGCTAGGTCATCAGTATTAAACGATAATAATGAAATTTAAAAATAAGTCATGATGACCTTAAAAGTTCTATCTCTGGATAATTTTTTAAAAATATATTACATCTTTAATAAATGTGTTTAATGCAATAAAAAAATTTCGACGTCAGTTATTTATCGGATCAGACATTAGTAAGATTTTAAGTACTGTCAAAAAAATCACTAAACTTTAAAAAAAAAAAAAAACATTTATATATTTTATTATAAGAAATCTGATTTTTATAAGATTAGTATATATAACATGTTTTAATTTGAAACTTGTTTTTTAATCAAATTTAAGTAATACACTTAATCTTAACGTACTACAACAATGAAGTTTGTTCCCAATAATAAAACTGGACAATTTTCCTTTATGACTTTCACTTGATTCAACATTCTAGTTTTAATTATTTAATAAAACAATCACGATATAGCACATAATCTTCTAATGTGTTAATGTGTTAGAAAATTAATTCGAAGAGAAAATATTCTAACAGTTATCAATAGATTTTACTAGGTAAATCGTTAGAAAGCACATCAACTGTGCGTTTCTCAGTAAATCATTAAAATCGTAAGCTACACTCGAATCCTGTGGGACAGGAAAGGTCCATAAAAAAGTACTCATACACATGATAATAATAACACACTGACGAGAGGATTTAATAGACCTACCTCTTATCGAGAGTATTGCCGCCTACAAGCGACAGCAACCGGAGTGCGGGGTAATCCTTGGCTACGGGCATAATATCCCTAACTTGTTGTAGTTTTTATATTTTTTTATTTACGGTGGAGGTGGGGCACTCGGTTCCCGGAGATAAAAATAATCTGTCTGCTTGTTCGTACGAGCTGCAGATAACAGTTAAAATATTTTATATTAACGTTATCGTACATTGTACAAAAGTGTCAAGTGTAAAATTTAGCAGCTGCTCATTGTGAGGTCCAAGTTTTCAATATTTACTGACCAGAATCGTACGAAAATACTCTTCTTAAAATATTTTTTTATTGATCAATTTTTTTACTGCTACTTTACTACTTTCATTTCGCACATATTTGTTTAGGACAGGCTGTCGTAGAATCTTCCGGAGTACGTAGGAAATCGTCTCATCGGACAAATACGTTGTATCGCAACGATTAAGTGTACACTAATCGAACGTGGAGGAAGGCAGTAAAACAAATAATGTCTTCGTACGACAGAAAACGAACGAGGCGAAAACACGTTTTACCGACCGCGTGTTCGTGTGCCGGCGATAAGGGCTAGCATTAATTTTAATTCGTGTGTATGTGTTTTACACAGATATGATGTGGAAACCACAACGAGAGATTGGGAGAGAGAGAGAGAGAGAGAGAGCGAGTTAACGTTTATTATAAGAGATGACTGTACCCGATATGGGATTTAACAGTTTTCGGACGCCGATAACGGTCGTTCCTCCGCCGCCTCCACTTACGAGCATTGTTACCTCAACGCGAACGCGATAATCGAATCGTGACAAAACTCCGAGTAATTAGCTTCATCGAGCAAAATCAGTGGCTCATCTCCAGACATCGCTAGTGCGTTCCACTCCCGCGAGACTCGACGGATTAGCCGTGTGCGTGCGCTTTTATGCCTCGTATTGGGATTCCCAAGTCAAAAGATAAAAATTGAAAAAAAAAAAAAACTACCTAATTCGACCGGACATTGTCAACATCAATACAAACTTTAGATCAATACCAATGCACATTTCTTCAACTAATTTTGTTTTGTTCTAACCTACAAATGATTTAAAAAGAATTCTCATTTGGGATTTTTCGAGAATCAAGATCTCGTACACTTATCTCACTCAGACAAATATTAAAACTCGTGAAGTTTTTTTCCTTTTATCATCGATAGCATTTCACTCGCTTATCTGCTCTCAAAGGTTCTCATACCGATAGTACGACACAAACGTGTTTGCTCGAACTTGGTGTTATCTATACGCGGTTAGTGTGTGTGTATAACATTATCGCGCGTGCCCAGTCGAAAAGTTTTTAGTGCAGAAGGGAAACATGAAAAATTACACACGGACGGCAACTACCACACGAGCCCTTTTGCAAGAGACGCTAATAAATATATACATATATAACACACTGGCAAGCTTTAGTGTAATCTGACCCCGATCTCGTCGAGTTCAACACATCGAAATCCTTTCACATACATAAATGCATTATCTCTGCGGAGGAGAACAGCGTTATTATCTAATAACTGTTATCTCTCGTATATTCGCCTTTTGTGCGTAATGAAATTGGACGGACACGTATTCCGCACGTTATATCGGATTAAAACCTTCGACCGAAAATAAACTCTTGCTCGGGCTAAAGTATAACAACTAAATATTAATCGGATTATTGACCAAAAAACAAAAAAAAAAATGAAATATTAAAAGCGAATTTCGCACTATTCCGTTGTGTACAGCTGTTTTTATACTAGGCATTATTATTAACAAAGTTACTACGAAAAAAAAAATTTGATTTGTAAGTAAATAAATTTATAAACGCACGTTGCATTTTAATTGTTTAGAGAGATGAAAATATACAACAACAATCGAGACATTAAAAATGATCGTAATACATAAAAAGTTCTTTTACAGATGACCAATTTAACGATAGGAACATTGTGAATAAATAAAAAACAAATAAACGCAAACTTCCTATAAAAAGTATTGACGATCACGGGTACTATAAAGAATCGGTTCAATTCATATGGAATCACTTTAAGAAAAATTATAATTCTAGGAAAAAACTTAAGTTAAGATTCTACGGCATATTGCTCAACTAGGCGGAAATCTTATCTACGAATATTTCAACAACACATTTTCAACATGATTACCAAACACCATAACACAGTGACAAATACAACACTTGACAAGCATTAACATAAAATTTACATAAGATTTTCTTTAGATACAAACATACACGAGTTAATCACACCGCTTCTCTAACTATCGAGCTATACGTATTTTTTTCTTCAATAATATATAAAATTATTATTATAAGTAATATAAAATATTCTATTTAGAGGTTAGCCGCCTTCTTACTTCTCATAGATTAACCAGCTCGACTTGTTTAATTCGCTATGAATCCAAAGAGTAAACAAATTAACAGAAAATCCATACATTCATCATTTTCACCTTTTTTCTGTATAACTTAAGAAAAAATATCCAACGCTGCACATATATTTCAACTGAACAGCATAAAGAATAAATTTAAACAATTTTCAGGAGATTTTAAAAAGTCTTACATTAAAATTAAGTTCTGAAATCGATTACAAACAAATGTCTTCGGCTGCAGCGAAAAAGACGCCTCGCACTATCATATATAAAAATGAACGATAAAGATTACCAGTAACAGACGGCGTGTGAGGTAGCGATAAGAATGGGGTAAGTTTATCTCAATATTATAAATCCAGAGCGCTGATAATGAAACAGAGACGGCGAGATGCACAAAGAGAAAAATTACTCTAAAAGTAAAAACAACAAACCAGTCGACGACGATCGGAGATAGCGACGGCGACACAGCTGCAAACTCTGTGGCGTTATAAATGAGTGTGGGCGGAAGGAAGAATAAACGCGAGCATTTACAGGGTAACACCGAGTGTAGCCGTGAGTGTAATTATGAGTATGTGTGTGAGTGTATACATAAGGTTAAAGTGTAATAAATGATTATCGGTCGGCACCAGTGATCTGTTAAAGGTAATTTAAGAGAGAGAGAGAGAGAGAGAGAGAGAGACAGAGACAGAGACAGAGATAAAGGGTAGGAGAAAAAAATGATAATGGAAGAAGTATAAATCGACGGGAGCGACATAGCTACGGCGGTGATGAATTTAATTTACTACCTGACGTCGTGTTGAGGCGAGTTTAATTCTGGTAGCCTTCCCCTTCGTTTACTACCGAAAAAAGACCGAGAGGGTGTACAGAGATATACGTAAATAGGGTACCACTGTTGTATAAAGGCGACCCATCGACTCCGCTGCGTTATCTCCGCGTTCCAGGCCAACCGCCTTTATCGTCTGACACCAGGAATCCTAACGGTAGCCGCGATCTCCCAAACGGTATTTTACACTCATCGCCCGGCCCCTCTGCTCTGTTTAAGACTACCCGCTACGAAGAGTGGGTAGAAGAGAGATCATGCACTGTCGTATGATACAAATACACCACACGACAGTCATGAGCACAAAGGGTCATCCCACAGGATCGTCAGTGAAACGTTATCAGATGACGGTCGGTCAATTTAAACGGGTTAAAAAAAAGTTATGAATTGGGAAAGCGGTATCACAAAAAAAAAAAAAAAAAAAAAATATGTGTTTGTACGATAAAAAAAAATATACTATTTTATACAACGGTGTTTTATCCCAATAAACCCACGTCGAGTATCCGCTGTCTTATGCAGATATTTATTTCCTATCAAAACTCCCCCCGAACGATTGGGCAGCGAAAAGGGAGAAAGTGACGTATCGCGCAAGATTTGATTGAAGGGATTTCGGTGTAACAAGCATACAATATAAGGACACGTGTTGGTATTCTCATTCGATAAAAAAAATATATATTATACAGAACAAACAAATATTATTCGTATATATTTGTGTTTTTTACCTGCGGACTAAGCTAATATTGTAATATCCATTGATTGAATAAATATTGTTCGTATATGCTTTTGGAAATTATTTTAGATTTAAATGAAATCAACATGTGCATATGAAAATGTCATACATAATAAAA